CGGGACCCCTTCATCGACATCCCGGCACCCCCCCCCCCCCCCCCCCCCCCCCCCCCCCCCCCCCCCCCCCCCCCCTCCTGCCATACCCACTGTCACCCGCTGTCAGCCCCTCAGTATCCCTGTCGCGCCCTCACACAGCCCCCCCACACACCCTGTGCCACTTCTTTCAGCACCACCTCCCGATGACCCCCCACCGCCCACTGCCATACCCCTGCCTCAGGTCACCCCGCTGGCAATTAGCCCAGCCCCCCGGGGAGCCCCCATCCACCCCCTGGGTCCCCTTATTCATCCCCCTGGACACCCCAAACCCCCCGGGACTCCTCATACACTCCCCAACGTACCCTTATCCATCCCCATGGTCGCCTCATCCACCGCCCGGGGCCCCCCATACACCCTCTGGGACCCCCCATACACCCCCTGGAATTCCCCATACACCCCTCTGGACCCCCCATCCACCCCCAGGGTCTCCTTATCCACCCTGGAAGGGGACCCGGAGGGACTGTGGTGCTCAGCCCGGGGCACCCCGACACCCCCGCGGGCTCCCACCGGGGGACAGACACCTTCCCGCTGCACCCCCCGGGTGAGAAGCCCCCGGTCCCTCGGGAGCGGCTCGGGGCGAGCCTTGGCACCCCGAGGAACTGCTGTAAATCGCTTTTGGGCAGCGGTGAGTGCTCCCCTACCTGCGCAAACAGGGCCATGGCCACCCGCGTCCCGTGTCGCCTTCCCGGGGACCCGCGGGGGGCAGAGGTCGGGACGGGCGTGTGGCGGCGGGACAAAGGCCGTATGGGGACGGGCGCGGCACAGCCGCGGTGAGGGGCTTTTCGCAGAGGAACTTGCTCAGCGAAAGGTCACCGCGGCAGGATTTGTCACCCGGGTTCCCAGCCCGCCCGTCCTCCGAGCCTGCCTCAGCGCGGGGCTCCGGGGCGTTACCGCTGGCTCGTTCTCACCGCGGGGAATTCACCCGGGCCGGGGAAATCCTGCCCGGCCAGAGCCGGGGCAGCCGGCCCAGCCGTGCCCTGACCGAGGAGGCTGCCCCGGGAGCGCGGCTGCGAGGACGAGGACGAGGCCGGGCGGGTCGGGGCTCGGCGGGGGCTCAGGCTCCACCACACCCTGCTCAGGGTCCCGCCGGGGTGCCCGGAGCGGGACATCCCTGTGGGCACCGGGAACGGCACGAGCGCAGCTCCCCCGCACCGGCACCGCGTCACCCCCTGCACCGCAACAGCCCTTTTCCCGGCACACCGCTCCGGGAACAACAGCGTGGAAAGTTCTGCAGTTCTCGGCTGGGTGATGTCACCCAGCCAAGGAAAACCCTCCTGCACTTCCTGACCTGCCCGTGACCTGGCAGCAGTGCCGGGGCAGGACGTGCTGTTCCCAGAGGGGCAGGAAACAGCACCCGCTGCGGGACGGGACCACCCGGGGCTGCTTCCAGTGACGATGGGATGGGACCGGAGCACCTGGGGCTGCTCCCCATCCTGCTCTTGCTGCGCTCCGGCCCCCCTGCACGGCCCGCACCCCCTGACGTTCCCCCTCCCGTCCCAGGGCTGCTCTCCCGCCCCCCGGAGCCGAGGCCCGGCGCGGTGCAGTGACGGCTGACAGATGACAGATGACCAACCTCTGTGCTCTCCCGGTGCCCGATTTCCGAGCAGTGCCCAGATCACCATGCCCGGGCTCCAGCCACTCCTGCGCTCTGTCATGGGGAGACCCCACAAAAACCCACCCTCGGAGCGTTAACCCTGTGCCCCCTCACTTCAGAAATGACGGAAGCAGGACCAGTTTTTCCTGCCTTTACTGCGGTACTCTGGGTGATTCTCATGCAATTCAAGGAGTTTCATCGAATTCCTGAGCTGGAAGGGACCCACAAGGACCATCCAGTCCTGGTCTTGGCCCTGCCCAGGATACCCCAACAATCCCACCCTCAGAGCGCTGCCTAAACCCTCCTGGGAGCTCTGGCAGCCTTGGGGCTGTGCCCACTGCCCTGGGGAGCCTGTTCAGTGTCAACCACCCTCTGGGGGAAGAACCTTTCCCTGAGATACAACCCTGTCCTGACATAACTCCAGCCGTTCCCTAAGGTCCTGTCACTGGGCAAAGGAGCAGAGATCGGAGCTGCCCCTGGGGAGGAGCTGCAGACCCCGGTGCGCTCTGGATCCCCTTCCCTGGGCTGAACCAACGCAGTGTCCTCAGCCGCTGCTCCCGTGTCCCATCGGGCCTGTCTGTGTCCCCTCGGCTCTGTCCGTGTCCCCTCTCGGGGTCGGGGGGGCCTCGGGACCGCCCGCTACGGGCACCACGGACCGCCACACTGCGCGTGCTCAGCTCGTCTCAGCCGGGCATGGCCATTGGTCAGAAGACGTGACAGCGCCGGAGAGAAAACCAATCCGTGCCCGGTAACCAGTTACTGACAGTGCCGACAGCCAATCGCAGCGTTCAGGGGCTCATACTGCCCGCCTTAAGGTTGGTGAAGTAGCTAGCCAATCGAAGAGCGAGAAAGATGATTGGCACGGCCTTGCACCTGTCAGCGGCAGAGACGTCACGCTGGTCGCTGTTAAGCCCACAGCCCTGGGGACCACGCGGCCCCGCCCGCCGCGCTCGCGCCGCTCCCCGCCAATGAGCGGCTGGGCCCTTGACGGGCGCGAGCTCCGGCCAATGGGCGCGTGCGGCGCTGGCCCCGCCCCGGCCGGGGCGGGCGCGGCCGGACGGGGCGGCGGCGATGGCGGAGAGCGACTGGGACACGGTGACGGTGCTGCGCAAGAAGGGCCCGAGCGCCGCGCAGGCCAAGTCCAAGCAGGTCAGCGGGGGCAGCGCCGGGCGCCCGAGGGGCTGCGGGGCCGGGGCCGGGCCCGGCGCAGCCGAGGCGGCGCCTCCGAGCTGCGCCGCGCTCAGCCTGCACCTTCGCTCTCTCCCCAGGCGATCTTGGCGGCCCAGCGGCGCGGGGAGGACGTGGAGACCTCCAAGAAGTGTGGGTATCCCGCAGGGAGGGGGGGGTTGCGGTGGGGGGGGGGGGGGGGGGGGGGGGGGGGGGGGGGGGGGGGGGGGGGGGCGGCGGCACCGCCCGGCTGAGCGGGGCCCAACGGAGAGACCCGAGCCCCGCGCTGGGAGCGCCGATAACGCCCCCGAGGTCCTGCTGGCCCGGGGCTCAGCCTCGCCTGGCTTCTGCAGAGATCCCGTGAGAGCGCTTCTGGCCGCAAAACTTAAGCTCCCCATTTTTGCAGCTCATTTCTGTTGAGAGTTTGAATGGCTGTTTATCTTCCTGTGGCGCTTCTCGGTAAAAATCCCTTGTTTCCTGTCTGAAGTAAATTCCCAGGTTCTCTCACTGTAGGGAGGAGATTCTGATGATTGAAAATAAACAAAGAAATGATCCTTGAAGGAAGTTTAGTCAGTTGTGTCGAGTCACTGAATGTCAAACACTAATGTGAGACAAAGGATCCCGCTTAGGACTTAAATACTGTAAAATTAAACAAAACAAATAATGTGGTTTTAGATCTCAGGCTTTCAGTGAAGCTAAGTACAGTTAGAATTTACTTATAAAAGGCATCAGAAAATTGGTTAAAAGACCCTTATTCGTGCTGCCTCATACCTGAGCAAACAAGATTCAACTTCAAGTATTGACCCCCCTATGCTGCAGCCCAAACATGTGTCTGGAGTGAAGTTGGAGTATTAAATCCCAAAGGAAAAGCAAGAGCTGGCCTGTCTGGAGAGAAGTTCAGGTGTGAAATAGGGAAAGGGGAGGGCTCTGCAGGCCTGTGCTCTGCACAGCACCACGAACAGGGCTAAGACAACATTCCCTGATGGGCAGGATCTGGGTGAGGTCAGTGCTGATGCTGGCATGTTGTAATCCTGACAACTCTCTGGGATCCTGAGCAGCTGAGGGTTTGGAAAAAGCCCTTTGACACTTTTTGGCACAGCTCTGAGCCTTGATTTGTTTGTCCTTGGTTGTGTTTTTTGTTCTCGCTTGGAATGACAGGGGCAGCAGGCCAGAACAAACAGCACTTCATTACAAAGAACACGGCCAAGCTCGACCGTGAAACGGAGGAGCTGCACCACGACAGAGTTTCCCTGGAGGTGGGCAAAGTGATCCAGCAGGGCCGGCAGAGCAAGGGCCTCACGCAGAAGGACCTGGCCACGGTGAGGGGGGCAGGGGGGCACCTCTGAGGGAGGGTGGGCACCTTTCCTGTCCCCCCTGGGCAGCTGCAGCGGGATGGTGTCATGGGCAGGAAGGTTGGGGAATGCAGCATCCCTGGTGTCTGATCTCCCGGTGCCTTCAGTTGTCTGGGAAATGTTTGCTGCTTTGTATGTGCAGCCCTTGAGCCCCAGCTTGGAGGCAGAGCCTGCTGTGGCTGCTGAGCTGGAGGTGGGAGGCTGCTTTTCCCCCTCCCCCAGCAGCTTCACCAGTCTCAAGGTTTGTACCATCGGGGCTGAGCAGTGAGAGCTCACTGGTGTCTGAAGGAATAGCAGTCCCTGGTGTTCCTGCTCCTCCTGGGAGGGAGGGAGGGAGATTGCAGTCTGTCCAAGATGGATGTTACCAGTGCAGGGAGGTGCCAGTGGGGATAGAGTCAGCCTGGGAGCAGCACTTGGTCATCTATGCTGTCATAATCCTGTTCTTTACCCATGTGAGCCCTGGGGGGCTGCTGCTGAGCATTTACTGTGTTTGAGACTCATCCTCCCTTTTTAGAAAATCAATGAAAAACCACAAGTTATCGCTGACTACGAGTCGGGACGAGCGATCCCCAACAACCAGGTCATGGGCAAGATCGAGAGAGCCATCGGTGAGCAAAGGGAGACTCAGTGCTGCCAGGGCCGGGAGGGATGGGCTGGGGGAAGGAACTTACGTTTTCCCTGTCGGGAATGTTATGGCTGGAGGTTATGATGGGTGTGGTGCTGTGTGTGTTCTGATAAAACCTGGGTTTGCTAATTGAACCAGAACTGCGAGCTCTTGTTCTTTGCACCTTCATGCGTGGGGCCGTGTCCTGGGGATCCCCCCAAAACCAGCGAGATGCTGAGATCCACGGAGGCCTAATGGCACTTAAAGAAGGATTTGGTGTTGGTGTTCGTCTCCTGGGCCAGTTCAGATCCCACTTCCTAGGAAGATAGTTGGTCTTGTTTGAAGTTAGTCTGGTGCTCCTAGGAACTAAAGTAGGATTCTCCCAAGCTCTGGTTCCCCTGCCCTCTTTTTCTGGATGTTCTCTTCCTTACAGCCAAAATTGAAGGAAATAAAGTTACTGGGTGAGTGATTGAGCGCTGATGGTGGTGGTGGTCTTCGTCTTGTTCTAGGCCTCAAACTGCGTGGGAAGGACATTGGAAAACCGCTGGAAACCGGACCCAAAGGGAAATGACAACAAAGCCTCGAAATCAGCTTGCTCAGACTGATCTGGCCCGGCTGGTTCTCCTCAAACACTCTGCTTATTGCCAAGCTGAACAAGAGGGTTTCAGACTTGCTTTGGGGGGGAACTCTGCCGAATCTGTACCTGCTGTAAAAAGGCAATCTTAAAGAAGCAATTTTCCTGATGTTTGTTTTTCCTTCCTCCTTTTCAGAGATTGAGGATCTAAACCCCCCAAAAAACCCAGACCCTGCCTCTGATTTGCCAGAAACATGTGCATTGTGATGTTAGCAGCAGCTGATGTTAAGGCACTTAGGGTGGTCTGAAATGTGATCATTTAGTTAGGACAGTTTGGGGGACAAGTGGGAATATATATATTATAAATAATTTGGGAGAGTTGGGGCTTGATCAGAAATGATGACTCAGTTGCTATATCTCAATGAGTTTGGTTTGTTCCTTCCAGCCTGTTTTAAAGAGTTCTATAATAAAGTTTGATACCCTTCAGTTGCCCAGAGGAGCTGCTGCATGTGACCAGCTGGTAGCAAATGTGGCTGGGCTTGACTGGAGCTGGAGCACCTATTCCTTCTGGGATTGTAATTAAAGGGACACCTGGGCTGCCTGGGATGAGGGCCAGCACTGTCCCAGCCTCCCTGGCTGTGTCACTCCTCTCCCCTGGGGGAGGGCTGCAGCGTGGCTGGCAGCCCAGGGCTGGAGTCAGTGCTGCAGAGGAGAGGGGAGGTGTTGGGGTTCTGCAGAGCCAGGCAGGTGCAGGTGAAGTCTGAGCCCTCCTTACCCAGCTCCCAGCTCTGCTGGGGGCTCATTCCTGCAGGCAGGACAGGGCTGTGGGATGGTGCTCTGAGGCATCACCTAAGGGGGGCACAGCTGGGTGAGAGGGAAACAGGCTGTGGTGACTCCCTGGGAAAGCAAGACACCCCAGTGTCCTCTGGCTGGGCATGGGGGCTGGTGGGGGCAGGAGCCTGGTGGGCTGCTCGTTGGGCGGGGGCTGAGCCAGGTTGTGTGTGGGGGGTGGGTTTGGCCCTGGGCTGCTTCAGAGTTCACAGTGATAAGGGGGGAAGGCTGGGGGGAGGGAGAGGTCCTGGGCTGGGGGATTCTGGTGCAGGGTGGGGGCCCAGGCCCTGAGCCCAGCCTGTGCCTCAGGAACTTTTTGGGGTTTTCCAGTGACATTTAAAGGCAGACTATCAAGAGCCCTTGCAAGGTTGTGGGCACCTGTACACTGGAGTTGGGACTGCCTGCTGTCCTTGAGGGTGCTGCATGGTGCCCCCCACTCTGCTCCCTTCTCTCCCGCTCACCCTCCCCAGAGCCCCCCTCCCACAACCAGCAGAAATGCTGGGCTTCCTCCCTGTGGGTGGGGTGTCCTGGGTGTGGACAGTGGCTCGTGCCCGTGCAGCACCTACTGCTCCTCCCAGCTTTGGGGACCAGGACCCCACACTTCACCCCCTGCTCAGACAAGGACAGTCGCTGCAAGAACTGCTGCTGCCAGCACCTGCTGAAGCACAGGCACGTTGCTGTGTCTTTGAAGTTCATATTACAAAAAAACAAAAATGCTTTTCCCGAGCACTTGGAGGTAGTGGTGGCAGCGGCGTGTCTCTGTGGGGCCGGTAGCCCCGATGGTGCCACGGCAGCTCCCTGGTGCTGGGAGCAGAGAGCCGGCGGCTGCTGGAGTGTGGGGTCTGGCTGAGGAATGGTCTACCTGGTGGGAGTGGGCAATTTCTGCTGCTGGCTGATAATTTCAAGCCTCATCCCCCTCTCTTGGCACTGGAGATATGATGACCTTGTCCTGCAAAGAAAGGTAAGTGGGAATCAGTGGCAAACGTGGGCTGTCTGCTGTGAGAGACTAGGATTTCTTCCATGCTGCAGTGGAGAGAACCCATGGGCCAGCCCCCCAATGACCCCAGCAGAGGAACTAAACCCCAAGTGCACCCAGGGGGCTCCACATCCTCTGTTGGGATTCCTCCTGGGACTGGGGGCTCTGTCGTGGTCCGTGTGCCACCAGGCCTGTCCAAGGGACCCACAGCTTAAGCCACCTCTCTTGGATTTGGTTGCTGGCTGGGTGAGAATGAGCCATGTTTGCTGAACCCCCTTCTCATAGGGCTCTGGGGTAGGAGCACACTCAGCTCTTTCTGGAGCAGCTGCCTGGCAGCAGCAGTTTCTAGGTCAGTCCTACAGCTCTGGGTCACTCATTTACCAACAAGCAGATAGGAGGCAGAGCCCTTTGCACCTCCTTGTCGTGCTGGCGGAGTGCAGTGTCAGGGGGAGCCTGTCAGCAGTTGCTGAGCTTTTAGGAATGTGCTGTTTTGGTGCAGTTGGGGTAATCAGGAAAGTCCTTCACCCTGTCCTTACATCTCGAAAGGTGATGTTGTCAAAGCCCTGGGGAGTGTTACTCTCCACTGGTGTCCTGCTCGCCAACCCTCGCTGCTTCAGCCAGTACCAGCCCCCGGTAGCCACCAGTGCAACAGTGAGGAGGGCCAGGAGCAGACCCAGCACCACCTCTGCCACGAAGCTGCCTGAGGGTTTCTCTGCAGTGAGAGAAGGGAGAGGAGATGCTGCCAGGCTTGACCTGCCATCCAGAGAGCTGCCTCCAGGCTTGGCCCAGCACCCTGAGCAGTGCTGGAATGACCTTTTGCAGCCAGAACCGGCCCCCTCCCCCTCACCTTCCACTGGCTCCTCGGGGCTGGAATGGCAGCCCACCCTTGCACTGTACACAATATCATCCAGTGCCACTGTCCCCTCCATCGGCCACCTCCGTGTGGTGATCTCAAAGATGATCTGTGAGGGAAGGTGTGATCTGATGCACCCCTGCAGGGCACCCAGCACCCCCGCTGGGCACCCTGCACCCCAGGGTGGCCTCACTCACTTGGAACTCGCTGGGGCTCTGCACAGGCACCACGCCGCCCTGCCAGCCCCGGCTGTGGTGTCCCTCCACGCTCCACACCGTGCGCTGCCCTGCTGTGCTGTGCAGCATCACCCGCAGCTCCCCACTGGCTGCAAGGAGGGGACACAGGCACCCCAGCATCACTGACCACCCAAAGCCCCCCAAAAGTCATGAGGCCCTCCCAGCCATACCATCCTCCACTGGGACAGCAGCACCCAGCAGTTATGGGCCATCCCCACCCAGCTGGAGCTGGACCGGAGTGTCCACGGTCCTACGGGTGGGGAGGGGGTTTGCAGCCCCTGACCAAGTCCTCCACTCCCACCGTGGGCTCATGCCCTCCCCAGAGACAGCACCTCCTCCCCACCCCTGCAGTGCTCACAGAGGTGCTCTGGGATGTCCATGTGGTACCAGAACCGCAGGCAGGAGTCGGTGGCAGCAGGCAGGGGCTGGCTCTCCAGCAGGGCACTGGTGCCCCCTGCACCCAGCACACTGGTGTCGAAGTGCACATAGTGACCTGGGTAGGCAGGGACAGAGCACAGGGTGTCCCCCAGTGCTGCAGCCCACCCGTCTTGACCCACTCCACCACAAAATGCCCAGAGTAATGCCCAGAGGATGGCACCCCACAGCCCTGCACCCCACTACCTCTGGGCCGAGCTGTCCCTCCCAGGCAAGGAGGGGACAGGGCTGCTGAGGAGCCAGGCCCCCTGAAGGTATTGGGGTGACCCCATTCATCCTCAGTTGTTTTCCTCACTCTGGCCCTGCTATGGTGCCCGGGCAGAGGTGGGTGTTTCCTACCGTTCCTTGTGCCCAGGGTGTGATCCTGCTCAGGGCCGGGGTACTTGGCTAGGGGCACCCCGCTCTTCCAGCCCCAGGCAAAGCTGTGCAGATGGGGGTCCGAAGGGCTGCTCCAGCCACACATGTCCTGCTCGAAGTCACAGGACGCTGGGAGGAAACGGGGGCTGTGAGACACCCCCTGCTGCCTGGCAGGTGGAGCATCTGGGTGTGGGGGGACAGCCCCCAACCCCCTCCCCACCACTGCCAGCTTTGGGCCAGGCCAAGCTCAGGGCAGGAGCATGGTGTCCAGATGGAAGGGACAGGCTGTCCCCATGCCCATGGTTGTGTGCCCCTATGGGATGTCCCATCTCCCCCATCTGGTCCATGGTGCCCCCCAGGGTGGGCTCTCACCTGGCTCAGGGCAGGCTCCGTCCGACACGTGCAGGTCATCCAGCGCGATGTACCCATGGTCACCCCCAGCTCCCACTGCCTCGAACACCATCTGGGCAGGGTGGCACGCTGAGGCTGGCAGTCAACCCTCGTCACCCCGAGCTGTCCCTGGCACCCTGCCCCATCTCACCTGCCAGTCCCCATCAGGTTGGACGGTGCTGTGGCCGCGGTGCCAGCCGCTCCCCTCCGTGGTGCTCACACTCAGCACCTTCCTCCGCACCCCGCTCTGCTCCACAAACACCCCAAGGGAGCCTGCCCAGGGCACCCACCATGGAGGAGGGGTCCAGGGCTGTGCTGTGCAGGACCCCTACCCCTCTGGAGGTGCCCCCGGGGGTCTTGGGGGTGGTGATGCTCACCTGGAGTCCCAGGGCTCAGCTGGTACCAGAAGGCCAGGCACTGGGCAGGTGTGGAGGGCTGGTAGGGCTGTGAGGTGAGGACAGCCCTGTGCCCTGCAGGTAGGGAGCCCTTGCCCGTGCTCACCACCATGTAATGACCTGGGGGGGAGAAGTCCTCATGCCATGGTCCCTGCCCAGCCCTGCTGCAGGGCCCTAGGGGACCACTGGGTCTGGGGTTTCTGCCCAGGTTGAGGAGTCTCCCCAGTTCAGGGACCTCCCCAGGACTGGGGAGCCTTGGGGCTGGGAAACTCTGGGTTTGGAGAGTTCCAGGGTTGGGGAGCCCTGTACAGGGTTGCCTTTTGTACCTCCTGGGCAGGCAGGGAGGGGAGGCAGGACACAGGATGGGCAGGCAGGGCTGATGTGGTGACAGGCAGGACACTCAGAGCAGACAGGGAGGGCAGGAAAGCAGGGAGCGAGGGCAGAGAGGCAGGCAGAACAGTGCAGGCAGGGAGGCAGGCAGAATAGTGCAGGCAGGGAGGCAGGCAGAACAGTGCAGGCAGGGAGGCAGCAGGGCTCCAGGCCATCGTGACCCTGTACCTGTGGCGGTGCCGGTGGTGTGATCGGCTGCAGGGCCGGCTGTGGTGCCGGTGCCGTTGCTCTGTCGCTGCCAGGTGCCCTGCCCACTGGCAGCCAGCCCACAGCCCTCTGCCTCAAAGGAGCAGGAGAGCTCGGCCCCACAGGGTCCCGCTGTCAGTGCCAGGTCGTCCAGCCCCACGTCCCCCAGGAACCCGTCCCGCAGCACCTCAAAGGCCACCTGCCAGGCAGGCAGCGGTGTCAGACAGCCCCTCCCTCGCTGGTACCAGGGTCACAGAAGGGGCTGCTCCTCACCCGGTATGGCTTCTGGCCCGTAGCGGGCAGTGTGGCCCATGCCCGGTGCCAGAGGCTGCCCTGGGTCCCCCGGCAGGTCCACAGCACCGTCTCCTCCTGTCCCTCTGGCTGCAGCTTGAGGTTCAGGGTGCCTGGGCAAGGGGTGGGGGCAGCCATCCAGCACCTGCTGTCAGCTGGAGCTGGCTTGGGGCGTCCCCGAGAGGATTCCAGGGGGCACATACCAATCTGTGGGCCAGCCAGGAGGTACCAGAAGGAGAGACAGCGTGGGGCAGCAGCAGGGTCCTGGCGGGATGTGACGAGCCGTGCCCGCTGCCCACGGCTCCACAGAGCAGAGGGGTCCACAGACAAGAAGTAGCCTGAGTGTTGGGGACAGCCAGGGTGGAGGGAACATGGATGTGAGTGCTCTGAGCTGTGCCCACATCACCCATACCCCAACCTGGGTTCTTCCAGGCTGCCCCAGGCAAGCTCACTCCACAGGTTGTTGGAGTGCACAGGGCATGTCTTGGCCTGTGCCAAGATGGGAGGAAAGTGGGGTGCCCTAGGATCCCCCAAAGAGCTGCCAGCCTCTTACCTGAGCCAGTGGTGTGGTCAGAGCCCTGTCCCTGCCCCATGCTGTGGACCCATCTGAAGTCACTGGACTGATCCTGGTACCAACCACACATGTCCCTCTCGAAGTTGCAGGTCAGCTCTGGCCAGAGAGACATGGTGGTGGTGAGGTGGAAGGGGATAAGGTACTCCAGAAGCAAGTGGGTCCCCAAATGTCCCTGTTCCCTCTGCTCCCCCACCCCACTCTCCAGGTTCACCCCATGCAGGTGTCCCAGGCCAGAGCAGGATATGGCTTCTGCACCATGGTCCTGTCCCTGGACAGGGTGGCAGCCACCAGGCAGCCCCCATGGAGGTGTCTGGGGTCACTGTCCCTGCCCACGTGCCCCTGGCCATACCTGCAGCTGTGGGTGACACCACACCGAGGTGGCACTGCTCAAATGTCACGTTGTCGACGCCAACACTCTCTGAACCCTGCAGGTCCACCAGTGCCAGCAGCTCGACCTGGAGGCACCAGCCATGAGCCCGGCGCCTGGCAGCACTGGCAGTGCTCCCCAGGCTGGTCTTTTTGTCCCTGGCACACCTGGAATGGTCTGCTCCTCTCTCCCAGGGGGACACGGACACGTCCTCCAGCTGTGCCACCACGACCCTGCATGTGCCAGGCCAGCTGGGTGGTGCCAGTGGTGTGATCCAAGATGCTGACAGCAAGGAAGCCTGGCATGAGAGATGGTGCAGAGGCTGTGGGCACCCAAAACTCCTGGCCACCCCGTGGGAGTCCCCCACAGCCCTGGCCCATGGTCACAGGAGACAGGGACGGGGATGGGGATGCCCCAGCTCCTGTGATGTGATGTGATGTGATGTGATGTGGCAAAATGGGGTTGGGAGAGGCAGCAAAGGCAGGTGGGCAGGGGGGCTCTGGGGTAAGTTCTGGAGGCAGAAAGCAGGCAGGGCACCCCAGAGGTGTACAGGGGGTTACCTTGGGGGCCACTGTGGATGTGGTAGCTCATCTCCATGGTGCAGGTGGGGCCAGATGGGCCCAGCAGAGGAGTTCGTGCCTTTGCAGCACCCACCATCTGTCCTTCTCCTTCGTGGAGGGCCAGAAAAGACCCTGGGCACAGAAACACTCTGTGAGGTGAGGACTGGGATCCCACATCCCTGGAAGCACCCTTAGCCCAGCATCCTGCCTGGGCATCACCCACTGTCGTGCAGTGGTATCCACCCACCCCGGCAGGGTGGGAGCAGGAGCCCCTGCTCTGGGGCTCCCACAGTGCTGGGGAACAAAGAGCACTGTCTGGGCAGCGGGAACAGCCTCACCTGTGAGGAAGGTGTTGAGCTCAGTGTGCCTTTGTAGACCCCAGCGCAGGTGCCCCACACTGACATCGTGCCAGCCCCCAGCCCCTGACTCGAAGGTTGTTGCCCCTGCAAAGTCAAAGAATCACAGAATCCCAGGTTGGTTTGGGTTGGAAGGAACCTTAAAGTTCATCTCATTCCACTATCTGCCAAGGGGGGTCTACTATCCACTAGATCAGGCTGTTTCAAGCCCTGTCCAACCTGGCCTTGAACACTTCTAGGAATGGGGCAGCCACAGCTTCTGTGGACAACCCAAAACTCCAGGCTCAGCCTCACCGGGCCTGGGGGCTGTGCAGCCACTCATGTGGCTGTTCCAGCCCGGGGTGCCTGTGTCCCTTCCCTGCCCGGTCCCTTGCACTGCTGGGTTCATTTTGCCACCGCTCCCCTCAGCTCTCACCGCAGCGCTTCTCGTCGGAGCCGTCGGTGCACGTGTCGCTGAAGTCACAGGCCAGCTCTGCAGCAATGCAGCCCCCACTGTCACAGGCCACCTCCCCTCCTGCACAGGGACTGGCACCTGCCCGGCTTGGCAGCGTGACTGGAGGCTTCCCTGATGGTGAAACACCCCAGGATGGAGAGTGGCAGTGAGAGGGCTCAGCAACAGCATTGGTGTCACCCCCTCAAGCCTCAGTCCCCTGTCCCCAGGCACCTTCCTGGCTCATTTCCCCCACCCTGTCCCATCCCATCCCATCCCATCCCATCCCATCCCATCCCATCCCATCCCATCCCATCCCATCCCATCCCATCCCATCCCATCCCATCCCATCCCATCCCATC